CACGAAGGCCTGAGTAAGAAGTGTTGCTGGGGCTGGAGCCTGCTCTCCAGACCCTCGGCAGCTCCCCATGCGCTGTCTGGACCTCGGTGAAGAGTGAGGATGGCACTGTGACCCTCAGGGGACAGAATGAGGTGACCCGACAAGACACTGGCCTGCGGGTGGGTTGTTCTGCATTATGTGGTGTGGTAGGTGAATAAAGCCTCCTGCAGGAGCCCCTGCTGATCCCCAGAACCTGTAGGGACTCTACAGACATGATCAAGTTACGCCTCTCACGATGGGAAGAGGTTCCCGGGTTACGCCATTGAGTTCGATGTCATCACAAGGGTCCTTACAAGAGGGAGGCGGGAGGGTCAGAGTCTGAGAGAGAAGACGGCGGGACGGAAGCAGAGGTCAGAGTGGCGCAGGGCCACCAACCAAGGAGCGCAGGTGGCCTCGGAGCTGAAGAAGGCCAGGGCGCGACCCGTCCTGAAACAGATCCCCAGGAGGAATGCAGCCTTGCGACACCGGAACTGTAAGGGGATAAATGAGAGTTGGTTTAAGCCACTGCGTGTGTGTGTGTGTGTGTGTGTGTGTGTGGTTACACCTGGCTGACCCCTGGCTACGCCTCTAAGGAGGTGCTGCGTTGGGGGAACCAAGACTCAGAGGAGGCAGCAGAGGTGACCCCGACATTGGGTGCCGTGCCCTGGATGCAGGAGTGGGTGGGGGAAGCCCAAGGAGCTGACAGTTGGCCCCTGGCTCCTCAGGCTGGCGTCTGGGGGCTCTGGGCATGACGTGGGGCAGAAGCCAAGGGCCAGGCCTCCAGGTGGCTGGGCAGGGCAGGCAGCTGTTGAAGTTTGAAAGGCTTCACGTGCTGGGGGAGACTGGCCAGAGGGGGCAGGTCCCTATTAAAGTGGGGGTGCAGGGGACACAAGCCACGACTCCCGAGGTGCTGTGCGGGCTGGGCACAGTGTGGTGAAGAGAGAGCCCATGTGGCCCTCCCAAGCTGCTCGTCTGTCAACACCTCGGTCCAGCCCTGCGCCCCAGCCCTGCTGAACGGTGGTGTGGGCAGCTTCTCCTCTGCCATTGCCCCACCAAGCCTCCCCTGACACAGCCTCAGGAAGAAGGGGCCGGCTGCCACTCCGCCTGGAGCCCCAAGGTATCCTAGCAACTCTGCACATCACCTGATGAGCCATGGGGAGGGCCACTCACTCCAGGGAGCACCTAGCTGGTCCGCTCCTCAGCCCTGAGTCCTTACAGTGAGTCAAGGAGGACGCCGGTCCCCAGGCCTGGAGTGGGCACTCAGCTTGGGGGAGAGTGAGGCAGTTAGCGGCCGGGGGCAGCAGACCTGGAGCCCTTCCCCCGCCTCTGTGCAGAGGACTGGGTGGGAGGGCAGATGGCAGTGGAGGACGACCCAGGCGCCCCCACCACCCTGTGTGCCCCTCCAGCTGGGCTGGGCTGGGGCAGGGACAGTGGCAGAGCTATTTTTGCTTATGCTGCCGCGGCTGCCGCAAGGAGGCATCAATCATTGATGCTCTGGGCATCCCTGCCTGCCCGGAGCGGCACGGAGGGCAGCCAGCCAGGTGGGTGGGGCAGGCCTGGGGCTCTGCTGAGGAGGGGGGGCCTAAGGAGCTACGCCAGCCAGCAGCCCTGGCCCCTCGCCCTGTCCCCAGCAGTGCACTGCATTGCCAGCCACAGCACCTGGGTACCCAGTCTGAGACCCACGACCAGCGGGCCGGGCCAGGGCTGGGGTGTGGCACCAGCCTCCCGGCACGGTGCTCCTAGGGAGGGGGCTGAGCAAGTGCGGGCCAGCAGGAGAGAGCGCGGGCCGCTCAGAGCCCCCACAGGCCGCCCCCCCAGGGGTGCCCCTCAGAAATGGTGCGGGGCCTCGTGTGTGCCGAGGGTGGCTGTGAGTCAGCACGCATCTCCATGCTTCTTGAGGGGCAGCTATTGCTGAGCCATGCCCAGCTGCTGTGGCCTCCGCCAGCGGGGCATCTGTCCCCAGAGGGGGACCTCAGGACGGGCTGGAGTGGAGCGTGATGGCAGGAGCTCCTGGCCGCGCAGGGCTCTGCGGCAGGCGCCCGGCCAGGCTTCAGCTGGGCGGTAGGGAGGGCAGGGGTCAGGCACAGATGGGCCGCGCAGGTCCTACCCGGGCAGCCTTCTCCCCATCAGGCGCTGTGACCCTGGGGCCAGGCCGGGGTTGCAAGGCCCCCACGGGTGGGAGGAGGGACTGGTAGGAGGAGGCAGGGCCAGGCCTGGCTGGCCTGGGGGCTGACTCCTGGGCAGTCTCCCTCTACACAGCTGCAGTCCGCCATCTGTGGGGTACAGTGCCTGAGGGACCACACCCTTCCAGAGATGAAATGGGCCTACAGGGCCCCCGCTGGTACATAGGGGTGTGCACAGTGGGTGAGGCCAGCCCTCTGCCTCAGGGGACACAAGAGAGGGGAAGGGGCAACCCCTTGGCCGGGGCGGGGGTGTCCCTGCCTACCCTCAGCCTGGATCTGGGGCCCTGAGCTAGTGCTGAGTCAACTCCCTGGCTGCAGAGTGAACTCGGCCCCAGCAGGAAAATGTAAGCCCACCCAGCCCTCACCAAGCCCAAAGGCAGAAGTGGCCCCAGGGAGGGTCCCTGCCTCAGCCTCCTCCAGGCCCCGGCTGGCCTGGATTCCCAGGGAGCACCCAATTGCCCAGGGACTGTCCCCAGAGGGGCCAGCGGTGCCCACCTCCACTCTCCCTCAGTGGCCTCTGTTTAGGTGGGGCAGCCCCCTGGCCTCCCCTCCGCTTCCCCACAGAGCTGACAGGAGCCACCGCAGCCCTGTGTGCACCATGCTGGAAAATCAGGATATATGCCACACAGGGTGAGGCCGCTTCAGCTGAACGGGGCCCGGGAGCCACACGACTTATCCAAGTTCACATGCCTAATTGGGCAGGGGCCCAGAGAGCTTGTGCTGACTGCACAGACTGCCCCTTGTTCCCAGGCCCACAAGGCCAGAGTCACACACACACAGGACAGGCAGGCTGAGACTCCCGACAGGCCCGAGCAGATGCCAGACACACCCAGGGACACATACAGCTCTCTCCCTGTGCCCACAAGTAACTGATTCCCATCCGGACCGAGTAGGGCAGGGTCTCGGGCCCCAGGGCAATGCTGCCTGGCCTGAGAGAAGACACCAGGGCAGGAGGGGTGAGACCCAAGCCCCGATGTCCCCACCTAAAGGACAGGGCTGTGCCCCGTCATGCCATGGGCTCGAGAGACGGGAGGCCGCCAGGGCCTCTTCCCGGCAGTGATGTGTGTGTCTGTCTGACCGTTTGCTGGAAGGCCTTCTGGCTGCAGCCCAGCTAGCGGGAACTGCCAGGCATGACTCGTCCCGCTGGGCAGGCTCACCTGGGCCCTGCCAGCTGTGCGATCCCTGAGTGAGCCCAGGAATAAGTAGTGTGCTCTGTGTGTGCACCTGTGTGTGTCTGCGTCCTGTCGAGCACATCCCGGCACATGGGCCTGAGTGGGTGCACGTGTATGAGTGTGTTCCCAAGCACTTGTGTGTGTGTGCGTGCGCGTGCATGTGTGTGCCTGTCTCTGAGTGCATGGGGACATATCCAAGTAGACCTGTATCTGTGTATTGGTGTCAGTGTGTGACATCTCATCTACAAGCGTTTGTGTGTCTGTGTGTGTCTACGTGTGTTTCTGTGTCTGTGTCAAGTCTGTGTGTCTGTGTGGTCCTCCTGTTTCAGCCTGGCCCCTTTCTGCCCCAGGAAAAGTTGACTGTGTGTGTTTCATCTGCCCCAGCACTACCAGCACCGTTTCAGGGCAGCCCCCAGGAATGTGCTGGCCCCGGCGCTTCACCCCCACCCCAGCAGGACCCGCACTCCCCAAGGGGCCCTTCCTCAGGTCTACGCCAGGCTGGGCCTCAGGTAACCCCCTACTTCCTCGGAAACAGAGCTCTCCCAGGCATCCCCACTCCCTGCCCACACCCCCAGACGTGCCCTGTTGCACACGTCTGCACGACACCCAAGCTGGAGCCCAGGGTGGCCCCTCCCCAGTGGTCTTCCAAGTCCCCTCTGCCAGCTTCCGGAACATCCAGGACCCTTCTCCCTCATCACAACCCTGCCCCGGTCCAGCCCCCACCCTCTTGCGGGGCTCCTGACCTCCAGCACTGTGCCCCTAGGGACATCCCCCAGCCACCTGGTAGTCAGCCCTGCTGCCCCCTGCCCCCAACCCCCCTGAGCCTAACTTTCCGCGGTGTGAACCAGCTTCGGCTCTCTTACTCCGTCTGTCCTCTGCACACACACTACTGCGTTGCTTCGGTCCAGAACTCTGTTCCCTACTCCTGAAGTCCGAGCTTAGACTGTCTGCCCGGAGCCTTCCAGGACCCTTCCCTACCCACCCCCACCGTGGCACCATGCTACCCCGCTGCGCACACCTCCAGACCAGGAGCCCCCAGGGCCGGGCTAGTGGAGTCAGATCACATGCCGTGGCCTCCCTGGGCTCCGCTGCCCCTACGCCCTCGCCCAGGGTGCCCTGCTCCCCAGCTTGTGACTGAAATGTCTTGTCTCCGGACTGGAAGGCAAGACTGCGGCGCGCAGGTCAAGTCCGGGAGTCTTGGCGCGGCGTCCGGGGACCGCCCCCGGGCCCCCCACCCCCGACCCCCCCCGGGCAGGCGTCCAAAGTCAACCCTCAGGACTCTGTTGGGGCGCGGGGCGGGGCCAATCTAGTGGAGGGGCGGGCCTGCCGCGGAGCCTGTGCCGGTGATCGGACTGGAGGTGGGACGTTGGCGGGGTCCGGACTGAGAGGCTGGGCCTTAGTGGGCGGGGCCTGGGTCAAGCCGGTTCCCGGAGGGACAGGGGCGTGGCGTGGCCACTAGGGGGCGTGGCCTGGCGGGCAGCAGCCAATGGGCTGAATGAGGCCGGCGGCTCCGCCCGCGCTCGCTCCGCAGTGGCTGGGCTCGGGCTGGGCTGGCCCGGGCGGGGTCCTGGCGGCGGCGGGGTTGGGGGCGCCGGCTCTGCCCGCAGTCCGCGGCCTGCAGCCAGCGGCATCGCAGGGCAGCGGAGGCAGAGCGCTGCGCTCGCCCGCACCCTGGCCGCCCGCGCGGCGGAGCCGGGATCTGCGACTGGACGCGACGGGCCGCCGCCGGCCAGCACCGCCCGGCCGCCAAGATGTGCGACTGCTTCCACATGATGCTGCCCACCTGGTCCGAAGCCCCTGGCAGCGGTGCGCCTCCTCCCCGCCTGCAGCCCGCTCCCCTCGGGGCGGGTGGGCTCCGCGCGGGGCGCGCGCCGGGCGGGTCCTGGGGCGCGCGTTGCGGGTGGGCTGCGGCGCCGGCCAGGGTGGGGGAGCCTCCGGGACCGGCCCGCGGTCTCGAGCGCGTTTCTGCGCCTCGGGGGCTGCTCGGGTCTGTGCCTCCCTCCTCCTGCGTCTCATCTCTTACCTGTCCCTGTCCCTTGGCCTCCCACCCCTCTCCATCCCTGCCGCTCACTTTGTTTCTCTGGGTCGCTGACGCGCCTCTACCACCCTGTCACTCCTCGCCTCTCTCTCAGTAACTCACTGTCTGTCTCTCCCTCTCTGTCAACTGTACCCCTGCTGTAGCCCTCTGGGACGTGTGCTGTCCCTAGAGGCAGCCGCCTGGGGCGGGCCGCACGTGTAAGTGGGGCATGACTGCCGTGGGTCAGCAGGCGGTGGGAACCTGCCGCCAGGACTGCCCTCTGATCTGCTTTTGGGGAGAGCAGTCTGGCTGGACCAGGAGTTGGGGTTGTTGGCTTTGGTCCAGGACTGCTAGGCTGGGCTGGGCTGGCTCCAGCGTGTGGCTGCTGTGTGCTGGCTCACTGGCTAGGTGGTGGCTGAGGTCTGGGGCTTGGTGAGGGGCCTGAGTGGGGTCAGAGCTCAGGCCACAGGGTCCCCCAGTTCTGAGCAAGGGTAGGTGGGGGTTGCCCATGGGGCAGGACCCCTCCCTCTGCACCTCTGGCCGCAGAATGAGAACCAGGTGCTCTGTCTGTCATCTGTCTGTCCCTGCACTGGGCCTGGTTCCAGGGTCTGGGTGTCTCAGCATCGTGGAGGGCAGGGTGGGGTGGGGCAGGGACAGTCTTTCCAGCCCAGGGTCAGTAATGCCGCAGCCTGGCCACACCCAGGACACCTGGCCAGCTGCCAGCAAGGGGGGCTGGGGCCACACTGCATTAGCACAGGTGGAACCCCACTCCCTGGGGAAAGCAGAGATCGATGACGATGGCACTGCTGATGCAGAGGGGGTGGGGCTCCCCTTCAGCTGCAGCAGGAGCCCCCATGGTCCCTCCTGTTGCCCATTAATCTGGTTAGCACTGAAGCCCAGCTGACCTCCTGTTTCGGCCTCCCTTGCCCAGGTGGGAACCCAAGGCACCCCGATTCTCCCTGGACAGCCAACGGGAGAATGATGGGTCCCTAGCCCCCTCCTCCTGACTGTGGCGGGCCTGGCCCACATCCCTGGGAATCTGCCGCGTCACAGGGAGAGGAGCGGGGCCCAAAGGACTTGGGGCCGTTGCTCTGCCTTGCATCCCACAATGGCCTTCTCCTCACTTACTGGCCGCCTGGAGACTCCCAAGCTGCAGGGTCTCGGGCCATCTTATCCACCCTCCTGCCTTGCAGAGGCCTGTGCTGGGAGCACCTCCCCAGCTGAGGCCCTCATTCTTACTCTGACATGTGGTTCTCTGGCCTCTGGGGCAGTTCCTCCTTGTGTCCAGCCTGCAAAACCATCCCCTCTTAGGGAACAAGGTCAGTGGCTTTCATGGGCGTTGGCAGGAGACCTGGCCCTGGGGGGTTGTGTCCAGCATGCAGATTCCCAGGCTTCCCCATCCTTCTGAGGGGGCCAGGGAACATGCATTCCTAATACAGAGCCATGGGGATTCAGTCCAGGCATTTTCCAGCTGCAGTTCCCTCCTAGCAGGCCAGAGATGGGCAGGCCCTCCCCGTCCCTCCCCGCCCCTCGTGTTTCTGCCCAGCCCACACCTGCCCTCCTGGACCAGTCCCTCCAGGTCCTCTGAAGACCCCTCCCACATCCTGTCGGTGCCCCAGACAGGGGCCCGGGGGAGGGAGCCATGTCTGGTCCAGCCTGCATTCGGAGGCTGCCCCCTGGTGGCTGTGCTGGGAACACACCAGCACAGGACCCGCCTAGCCTCCCTGTGCCTGGCCAGTCTGAGTAGCACCCGCGCACCCCCACCCCACTACTGCGACCTCCACCTGGAATGGGCCCCCCTTTCCTATCCCAGGGGCAGCTGGTTCCTTCCCGAGGCAGAGCTGGGTCTTAGGCAGCTAGACTACTGATAGGGAGCCCCCAACTCCCAGGCTGGGCCTCTGCGCTGCACCTTCAATCCCCTGGCTTGGCCTGAGGCCCCTCCCACACCCACCCTGAGAAGCCCCCACAAGGGTCAGAGAGCCCCAGGAGCAGATGACACCATGAGGCGTATCTGGGTGGTCTCTCCCTGGCAGGGGGCCACGGCAACACTGGGGCCTTTCCCGAAAGCAGTGCAATGTTGGGCATCCCCTGTGGTGGCCTCACCCTTCTGAACAGGGCCGGTGGCCTCCGCACAAGCCTGGACTCTGGGCTACGGCTGGATCTCGAATCTATGAACAGGAGCGACAATGGCTGCTCACGGCCCAGGCGGGGCAGAGAGGCAGAGCCGTGTAGCCAGGGAGGCCAAGGGGTGGCTCCAGTGAGCAGTCCAAACCGGTGGCTTTGCCTGGGTTGTCCACACTGGCAGAGGGCTGTGTCCCCATTTTGCAGACAGGGACACTGAGTTTCAGAGCAGTGAGGCAGAGCCCCGAACCAAAGTGGAGCCTCTCTGGCCTCCACAGGGGTCAGAGCAGCCATGCCACACGCTCTGATGCTGCCCTGCCCCACCAGGCAGGGGGCCCACAAGGCCGGGCACAGAGAAGAGGCCTCAGAGGCCATCCTGGGCAGGAGTACCGACCCTCCTGACACTTTAATGAGGACGATTCTGAAAGCCACCGCTGGTGATAGCATACGGGTTCCTGACAGCACCCCCACTTCTTCTCTTTGTGGAGAAACACTCTGGATAGCCTAGATCCAGCCTCAGGAAGCAGGGTGGGGCCCAGGAGTGGATAGGAGGGTCCAGTGCCCCAAACCACCTGCCTCCCACTGTGCGCCCACTCCACCTGGGGCTCATCATGGCCTTGCCCTTGTGAAGGCCATGGCCTTCTCTCCCTCTGGCCAGTCTTCCATCCTGGGCCCAGCCAGGAGCTGCCTCTTCCAGGAAGCCCCCTGGATTGCTCTCCTTCAGACTCCAACTCTCTCTCTATCTTCTCTTGTGACTGCCTTTGCTGAAAGGCTGTGTTTCAGGTTCAGACTGGGGCTGCTTTGCCTGGGGGTGGGGAAGTGGAGGTCCCAGCGAGGAGAACCCCAGGGAGGTGGGGTGGGGCATGGGCCATCTGGGGGCCCCCGCCACCCATTTCAGGGGTGAAAAGCCCAGATTTCCCCAGCTTGGCCCTCTGCCTGGACAGGGGCAGGAGGAGGCAGACCCTACGCCTAGGGCTAATGCGAAGCGGGGTTGCCTGTCCACCCACCCGTCCATCTGTGCATCCCAGGGGCCCTGGGCCTTAGATGTTCACACATTGGGGAGCAGGGATTCACCAGTGTTCATTCATCAAAGGTGAGACAGGTGGGGCTTCTGCCGTCAGTGCCACCTCGGTGCACAGGGAAGTCAGGGAGGGCTTCCAGGAGGAAGGGCTGCCTGATGCGGCATCGTGTGCAAGAGGCCTGAAGAGAATGTTGACTGGGGAGCAGCACGTAGCTTAACAGGGTGGGTCTGGGGATGGGGGTGGGGTTAAGGGTGGAGAGGTGTAGGGACGGTGCTGTTAGGCGGGAGGGCTATGTTCCAAGGGCACCGGGGCGCCTCAGAGGGTTTCAGGGCAGGTCCCATGGGAAGGGATAAGGCCCAGCAGGGCGGAGGAGGGGGCATCGAGGAGCTGAGGCTGAGGGTGGGGAGGGTGGACGGGGAGCCTCAGCTGCACACACACGAGAGCTGGCCACGCTCCCCTGAGCCCCTCCCCATTCTAAGCGCAGCTGCCCCTCCTGGCCGGGTCCGGGCACACCGGGCGCCTTCAGGGGCACCTCCAGGCCCTGTCTGCCCGCCTGGCCTCTTCCTCAGGTTTCCCTTTGTCTTTTTTTGGAGGCACAGGCGGCTGGGCGCTAAAGGTCCACCTCGCTGGGATAAATATTTAATAGTCAGAAGCACTTTCTAAAATGGAAAGATGGAGCTGGGCCCAGGAGGCCTGAGGGGCCCGGGCAGGGTGGGAGGTGGCGTCCCACCGTGCCCACTGCTCACCTGGTTCCTGCCCTGCGGGGAGCCGGAGGACCCAGTGTGTGTACCTGAGGGTAAGGGGCGGCGTTGGGCCCCTCCCCAGAGAGCTTGGCCGTAGAGACTCGCCGGCGTGTCGCGCCCAGGGCTGCTGCTGGAGCGGTAGGCGGAGCTGTGGCTCCCAGCCGCCAGCAGAGGCGGGCTTTCCACCTTCTTAGCTGGTTGAACTGCCAGGAGTCCCGGGAAGGTCCAAGATGGGCTCCTGCCCGGACACAGCACCGGATGTGGGTGTCCATTGCCGAGAGGATGGCCGGGGCTCAGAAAGGAGCGGGCCAGGAAACCTGGGGTGGTGTCCTTATTTGGGCCTCCCTGTCACAACAGTGCGGTGACAGGCTCGCTCAGCCCCGTTGTCCACTGGAGGGTCCACCCAGGTGCCGGTGTCTGCGTGGGCTGGAGGCCCCGGAGGTGAGGCCCCGCTGGGCCAGGTCAAGGCTACTTTGTTTGGGGCTCAAGCCTCCGGCTGGCTGCCCACCCCAGGGTGGGGGTCAGACCGTGGGCTGCCCATACTGGGCTCTGGGGGCCCCGCCCCTCCTACTCCTCCCCCGACCCTGGCTGGTGCCCTTGTTTCCCAAGAGCTGCCAGTGCTGCCAGACCCCTCCAGGTGGGAAGAGGGTGGCCTCCCACCAGGCACCTGAATGCAGGACCCCTCCAGGCAGCTCCCCCCGCACCCCCGCCCCGGCAGGCCTTGCTCCTGGGTGGCAGCACCTGCGGGCTCCTCCGTGACACATGCCCTGAGAATGCCGCGCTTGCCCTGACCTCCTCGCCGGCGGATTCACCATCAGCCGCCCCTGGCCCCGCCCCGCCCTTTCCCACAGTGACTCCAAGGGCCCGGAGTCCTGGCGGCTCTGAGCTGCGGCTGCCGGTGCA